GGGTCCTGGGGGCCGCCGGCGGGGGGCTGCTGCTGGGGCTGGGGGGGTCTTTCTCCCCTGGCTTGCGGCGGCAGCCTGCTCGGACGAAGGGTGCCTCATGGGTGTCACGCCCCCTGTCGCGCCCCGTGCCGGGGGGCCCGCGCGAGAGCCCACTTTCCTAGCGCGGACTACCCCCCGGCGGAAGACGCAACCACGCTGGTCGCCACGGCGGATCGGGGTGAAGGGGGGGAGGGCTCCCCCCTGACACTTCCGTCCGTCCGTGGGACCCCTCGGCTTTGGCAAGCGCGCGCGATGGTGTCCGCGAGGTCGGAGGCGCGGAACCCCCGAAAACCCCTTTGTAGAGGGGGGCGAGTAGGGGGCTGGAGCCCAGTGGCGGGGTGCGGTATCCCCCCGCCCCGTGGCATATTCCGACTCCCCTGGGAGGACTCAGGGGCCCGGGCTGCGGCCGGCGTCCGTGGTCATGTTTCGCGGTCGGTCGTGGCCCGGAGGGGGTATACCCCGGTCGGAGGAGCCTCGCGCGTTATGGGGATAAGATTAGAAATGGCTAATAAAAAACCCACTTCTTTTTTTAATAAGAGCGTGGAGGGAGGAGAGGAGGTGTAGGCGGGCGCACAGTCGCGATCGTACGCGATTGTTGCGCAGGGGGCGCAGGGCGGCGCGGCAGGCGGTCACCAGCCTGGCCCTTCGGGAGAGCCACTCGGCCCCAAGATTGTGAGCGTGGAGAGCGCTCACATTGAGGTGGGCAAGCTGCGGGGCACAGGGAAGATCAAACCTGGCCCCAAAAGCTCGAAGATCGCCGAGAGGCGAGAGCGGGATCCGCGACGGACCAAGTCCGACCCTCAGGGCCAGGAGCCCATCCAGGGCCAGGAGCCCACGGGTCTGGCTGGTAAGGTCCAGAGGACGGAGCGCTCACCCCCCCCGAAAACCGGTAAGGGGGAGCGACAACGACGAGCGCGGCGAGCTCCGCCCTCGAGGACTCGGATGAATCCTCGCGCGAGGTGGACCCCGAGGGGGACGGTGGCTCCGACGAGAGCATTAAGTCCCACACGTCCCGCTCGGGGGCCACGAAGAGGAGTCGGAGCAGTAGGAGGAGGAAAGGCGCGAAACAGCCGCGCCCTCACGACAGCTCCAGTGGGGAGGAGGAGGACCTCCGCCCCGAGAAAAAGGACGGCCGGGGCAGACCCGTCAAAATGGGGGAGGGCGTTGCGATCGACGCCCGCAAAAAAGCCAACAGGGAACTCAACGAGAAAAGGAGGCAACTCCGCGACGTTGAGAAGATCCTCCAGGGGGATTATGACCCCAAAAAATACAATGCCGCGAGGCAGCAGAAGGTGAGGGAGCTGGAAGAGCAAATCCCCCAGCTCCCCACCCGCGATATAGTGGCGTGTGTGTTGGAGCACGCCAGCGCGATCGATCACGCGGTGACTGCCAGCAGGAATCTGAAAGGATCCCTTGCTGGCAAGATAAGGGACGGGGCCTTGTACACCAAGGTCGCCGTCGACGCCCTCTCGACCAGGGTGAGTGGGGAGAGGAGCGAGAGGGAAG